GTTTTAACTACTGTTTTCTAGTGATGTGATATCTGTTACTACTTGTATTTACCTGTGACGATGTAAATGACCCACGCCTGGTGGTGACTACTCTTGTTAGGGAACATGTTATACGTGACTGTGTGGTTTTTTCGACACTAGGCTTAATAGATATTCCCTCGTCTATTCTATAATGATAATATTTTGTAGAACTTACTTAATTGTATCGTTATCGATCAATCAATTAATTTGGGTCTCGGATTAAAAGTTACTCTATTTTTATGATGCAGTCTAGCACAACGTAGGTCAATCAATCAATAAAATGTCGTAAAATCATAGTGCACATTATTGAATTGATCTCAATCTGAGTTATTGTAATTGTATTATTTTCTTTATAAAGGTAATTCCGGTGTAATTTAATATTAGTTATGCTTTTTTAAATTAAATCGTTGAGTATACAAACGTTTTAATTAAATTTATTAGGTAATTTAAGATTAGTTGTAGAGATTTTAGATGAATTTATGACGACATATAGACTGTAAAACTATGAGAGTTGGTCTTGAAATAAATATTTAGGCATAATAAGTATACAAGGTACAAAAAATACAACAAAAATATTTGATATACATTTTATTACAAAAAGATCGTACATTAAATAGTTTTTAGTCGACTGCGGTCGAAATAAACTTTTGTTCTTCATCATTAAAACTAGAAAATAGAAAAAATAGACTTCTATATACAACAGTGCTTTACCAGGTACTTACGAAGCCTTAACCAATCACGTTCGAGAGATCATGTGAAAACATGAACCTGTATACCAAAGACATTAAAATATTACATAAAATATACATACATAATTTCTAAACTTCATATTTAAATACATGAATATTTACATAAGAACTGTCATGGCGTCTCGTTATTAAAATATACATAATCATTATGGCAATCAAATACATAATTGATATTTAATATAATACCCCACTGCACTCAAAGTAGGTTATACTTTTGTTATGTGTCGCCAAAAAGTTGTTAAAAATAAAAAAAAAACACTAAAGAGGTTTTCATTTTTCAATATGGCGGTCTCACGGATAACCTACTCCGAATACATTTACATTTTACAATAAAATGGCGACAGGCTTCGTTGCGATTGCACTTTATCCCTAATTCCTTACAGAACCTGAACTTATATCCATTTGTGAACCTGAACTTATATGAATGACGTCATTTCTTGGTCGCTTTCTTTGATCAAGTACTTCTCAAGTTACACACAGTAGATATAAGCTCTTTGCATCACACACTCACACATAAAACTACACTTATCTACATCACATAAAAACGTTCTGACTCAAACAATAATCCCATATGAAAATGCCTTAACATAAACATATCGTTATTTAGACAACTCGCTTGATGACAAATTAAAACCTAAAAAATCCATACTACTTAAAAACACCTTATCACAGGGCTATACGACTCACAATCATTTGAGAATATGGCGTAAACTCCCTTCATACTTCTACAAAGTTTGCTACACACACATTTTTTTTTTAATTTTAATTTGTCAACGTGCGAGTGACGCCATTGTACAGTTTACCATCCAAGTTTTGATGAGTGGAATGCGTGGGCGTGGCCATATCCATGTCCGTGGAAATCGTGGATGATGGGGGCGCTAGCGTAGGACTTGACTACTGGGACGGCGACTGGGGCTGGTACTGGCACGGCTACTGGTTTTGGCACGGCTACTGGGTAGGGCTGGGGGACGGGAACTCCGACCTGGAATTGGAATACTGCATTAATGATCTGCTCCTGAGATATCTAATATTTTAGTTTAGAAACCTTTATTAATTCTTGACTGCACGGTTGGTGCGGTGGCTGGGCAACCGGCTGCCGTGCAACGTGTCGCGGGTTCGATCCCGCACGGAACAACACTTTGTGTGATCCACAAATTGTTGTTTCGGATCTGGTTGTCATATGTATGTGAACTTGTATATTTGTAAACGCACCCACGACACAGGAGAAAAATCCTAACGTGGGGCAACGTTTTTTTTTTAAAAAAAAAACATTAAGTTGGTCATTCTCAACTTTAGTCTATGTAATCAAATTCAAAAGTTCATTACTTTTCACTGTCATTTTTAACAAACAAATTCTCAAAATTTTCAATGCGGAGCTAAATGTACTAGTTCAATAATATTGCCAGTAACAATAAATAAACTAAGTACTTGTAAGCCAGGTACTAGGTAACTGGCGTGTGTCTCGACCGGTATAGCATTAAGTTCAATTGAGCGACACGAGTACACGGCGCGGGCGACGGAGCGACGTTGCCATGACGGAAGCTCTGCTAATGTGCATCATTACCTGCTTTACGCTCTAACGATACTTTATTGATTTATTGTGGGTGTATAGTATTTGTTTTAGAGAAATAGACTTTTATACGTGATACTAGACATAGACCCGTGATTGTACTATAAGTTTATGTACTTCTTCTTTTGTGTTTTGTCTCTTTGGAATATGTATTTCTTTCCTAATTTTCTTATCTTTGTAGACGTTGAAATCGTTTTCAATAACTTTTAACGCATTTTATTCTTAATCTTATTGGAAGTGTTAAGTAATTTTACTTTCAAGCAGTTATCAATGACTTCGTCCATACACAAATTGGTCTCTGTGCAAATGATTTGATACAAGAAGGTAACTTCTATGCTCTAGAAATCTTCTTGTAAGATTTTTTTATTGACAGGGTAATGAGTGTTACGTCTAGCGCATTTCAATTAGATATTTGATCTTAAAATTTTCATAATTTTTCGGTAAAGCTCTTGGAATTTTCTCTCAATTTACTTACAGTCAATTACATCATACTATTGACACTGTTAACGCCATATTATGGCACATGTAAGGTAAGGCAATGTTATACAATCCTCGATAATGTTGTACAGTGCACAGTAATGGGAATCGCTTCATTAACCCACTAGCACACAGCACGTAACCTCTTCTCCATAGAAATGACTTCACTGGCAGACGGTACCAGAATTTCAAATGGTCACCATCTCCCGTTTACATAGAAACGGTCTGATTTAGGCTTAGAGTTTGCGTCACGTATTTTTCTCTGACAGTTTGCAATATCTTTTATAACAAGAGGAACTAATGAACATTCAAACTAATTTAAAGTTACAATTACTTTTCTAATTTTGACTCCTGCCTAAATTAGCACTTTATGTCATCGTTTGTGTTCTCTTTACCCAGATTAAAAACATTATAAGTGCTTCAATTCTCTCATACTTACTTGCTTAATGACGGGGTAAGGCACAGCATGAGGTACAGGCACAGGCACGGGACGGTCGACAGGGACAGCGACGTGCTTCTCAACGGTGACCGGGTAGGGCTTGGGGACAGGCACAGCGTAGGGACGGTCTACGGGTACGGGGACTGCCACCTGAAATAGACATGTGATGACTTGTTTTTAGTGAGTGATTATTTTTGATTGGGAAGGTGAGCCATGTGTGATGATGCTCACACGTTCTATTTAAATAATAAATTCTATAAATATCAATGTCAATATCATCCTTTAATAGTAACTATTCTAAAAATATGTATCACATTTGGGTCTGAAAATCTGTGACCTCTTAAGGACTTAATAAAAAGCTCTTTGAAGAGTTCTTAAAAATAATTGCAACTGAGTAAAATTATTCTTACCTTTACGGCAACAGGGTAAGGTCTATCCACAGGAACAGGATAAGGTGCAGGCACAGGGACACCAACATGTTTCGTGACAGTCGTGTGAACATCAGCTCCTACTATGGCTGCTCCAACAGGTCCTCCCACGAATGGTCCCGCAGCATAGCCAGCGGCGATTGGTCCGGCTAAATGTCCCGCGGCAATGGGCCCTGCTAAATGTCCCGCGGCGATGGGTCCTGCTAGATGTCCCGCGTATCCATGACCCAAAGCCAATCCATGACCAATCAGGGGAGCTCCAAAATGACCGACCAGGCCACTTCGCTTCTGGACAACTTTGCTCGGTTCGGGATCCGCCAGAACTGAGGCTGCCAGGAAGAGAACTGCGATCTGGAAAAGAGAATAGGATCTGATAGGATTGTTGTAGTAGAGTATCTGCTTTTAAGAGAATATTTTGCCTACAGATTCTTTGTATGTTCCTTCTGAATCCTATCAGAATTCTGGCAAAGATTAAGACAAATCGTAAATAAAGCTAGTCAAAAATGAACTTAATAAAGGGACCTACGTCGGACGTTCAGCGATAGCCGAAAGTAAGCTGGTGATGAAGTTGATATTGAAACAGTACCAAATACTATTCCCATTTCCTTCCTTGCGAATCACAAAATAAACAACAATGCAAATCAAGAAGAAAGTGTCATGTAACTTCCATTGCCAAAATCAAAGGTTGAACTGCATTTTCGCATACATTGAACCGAACAATGCATGCGATTACTTTTACTTATTGCGTGATATGACTTCATCAGGTCCATTGATATGCACAGGAGTACGTTCAGAAACGAAATTCGAACCACGATTTGAATTTAAATGAAAGGATTCCATGATATGGATAATAGGACATGATTTACGCGTGTTAGTGTTGCGTATTAACTGGGTATGACGAAACTGTTTGATGGCTTCATTATTATGTATTGTAACAATGTAAACAAATAGAGAGACAGATATAATGGTTGGACAGTTTGGACAGTTTCGAGTTCATTAGATTTTGGTATTATTAGAGCTGATTTGCATATAATTAACTCTTGGCTGTTTTTGGAATGGAAGAATTGTCAAACATTCTAAATTGTCATGGTAGGCATTATTGTTTTCGTCGATTACAGCGTCGTAATCTCGATTTTTCAGCAAGAGGTCTCGGTTTCGATGCCCAGGCTAGACAAGTTATTACATATGGTAGGCATTGCACTGCCTACCCTTGCGGGGATTGCGTGTAATGTTATTATGATAATTATTTTGCAGATTTCAGAAAAATTATTGTGTGCATAATATCTTCGAAAATGTGATTCATGGTGTGGTGTTATTTTAAAGAAAAATTAAAAAATTTGGAGAGGCCTATGTCCAGTAGTGGACGAATACAGGCTGATGATGTATTTAAATATCCTTTAATATCTAAGTATGAGATGCATGAAAGAGATGAAAATTGTCTGGATTGCGAGTTGCAATCTGATAAACCTGACATGTGTATCATTTTAATTTGGAAAATAAAGAAAACAACAGAAATTAAATTACGAAATTCATTCATTCAGGGTGATAGATCAACGACTGTTATGTCAAGTGGATCAATATTGGACCTAAGCAACACGGACACACATACGTAAATTTAAGTGGAATATGTAGGGGAAAGTGTCATATAGAGAAAAACTAGCGTGTTATCTAACGTTTGGTTACGCTTGTATCAACTTCTTAATGAAGCTTGAAGTTTTTATACGATGCTAGGGTTGGTTAAGTGTAGGAAGTCGTTGGTCCTAGGCGTACTGTCCACGTTACGTCATTTGACGAATGCATGCATTCATCAAAAACGATAGATGTATTTAATGTTGCCGCTTCGTGAACGGTTTTTATTGTTTCTTAGTAAAGCAAGTATTCATCATGTGTAAGCCACCTATTGGTGATTTAGATGGCTGAATACAGAAAGTGCTTTGGCAATTAGATTTTTAAAAAAATCAATAATGATTTGATTAGGGTCTTTCAAATCAAACTAATTTTTGGAAATGGTTTTAAGCATGTAGGGGATTTTTATTCTGTAAGGTTTTGATTTATAATTAATTAGGTTATATTCGAGTTTTTATCAGTGGCAATTTCCGCAAATTATATTGGATGGATACCTTACAAAAGTTCCGTTACACTGCTTTGTGGAAGAAAAAAGTAACTTATTTAATATTTTAGAAACAGAATCTTGTAGAAATTAATAAAAATGATAGACATTTCAATTATTAAAAATTCAATTGTCTGCGGATACAAAGACTACAGCAATTGGGTACTTGCCCACTAGTCAAATTCAATACTTTTTTCGAACTGTCAAAAACGACATTTTTCTAGGAATTTTGTATGAAATTGTGTATTGTGACGTCACGTTTTTTAGAACCGAACCGAGCCGTGAATCTGTGGGAATAGCGCATGAAATTTTTAATTATTATGTGTGAAGTTATTTTTTTATATTAGTGCAAAGGAATTTAATAAGGTGTTAAAGTGTAATAATGTCAATGTTTTTAAGTATCGATTGCCCGCCGACACAAAGACCACAGCAATTCGATTGCGACAAGTAAGTGCATTGTCTTTTAATCTGTGGGAAAAGCGCGCGAAATATTTTATTTTTGTCTGTGAAGTTTTTTTTTCACATTTGTGTAAAAGAATATAATAAGGCATTGAAATGATATTAATGTTTTTTTAAGTATTATTATAGAACTACTATAACATTTTTCTTTGAAAAGGCGGTTTGGAATTAAAATGTTTGTTGGTTTTTTTTAATTTACTACTTGTTTTGTTACATGTATTTGTACTCACAACAATTAATTGTTTTATTCTGCCTAAAAAAATATTAAGTATTTATTTCTTATGATAAAAATCTCCTCTAAAACACAATACCGCAAATATTATCAATAACTTAATTGTACTAATTTCATTTATTAACACTTACGTAGGCCTTCATTTTGAAAAGGATCACTGCACTACAACTGAACACTGTAAGGATCAAACTACACTGTGCATATGTGCTCAAAGGCTTAGCAAACCTTTTATATAAGGCTCGGAGCACACTACCCCACTATCGGAGCCCAAACAGTCTCAACTTCAAACTCGGATTTGCGACACTTAGCACAGTTACTGGTATGACAATAATTTGGACATTATTCAAATAGACTGGGATTTGTAATGAGACTTCTGTTTGTATTCTGAATTTGTTATTTGAATTTGGTGTGAAACAATGGGTTAGTGTTTTTGGGTACAATTTATTTGATTATTTTGTAATTTGTACTTTAAAATTTTGTTATAAGCTTCATTCAAAATGTGTGCAATATTGAAATAGGATGTTAGTGTGCTTAAAGTTGCGACTGTTTATGGATAAGGTATTACGACTGGATATAAAGTAATCCGAGCTTTGTTTTCCAACACCCATATTAGGTAGGTATTTATTTATATACTTTTTTTATTACTGAAGACTAGTTTTGTTTAGGAAATTACAGTAGTAATGTTATGTGTTTTAACAACAAGAACATTAACAGCCTATAAGTGGATACTGCTGACCAAATGCCTCTTATCACACGGAGAAGGTTTGAGCATTCGGAGATTTGAGCATTATGTGTTATCTATAAAAAATAAAATGCCAACTAATACAGTAACGAGATTAAACTATCTTAGCAAAGCATGTTTTTTTGTTGAAGCTCTTTGTTGCCAATATAAGTAGGATATTTGACTGTCTTGTTGGCCGAATGGTCGCAAATGCAACTGCCGGGCAAGGGGTCTCGGGGTCGATTTCTGGGTCGGGCAATGTATTACAAGGTTTTTACTAAAATCTCAGTAGTAGCACGGAGTCTGAATTCTGTGCCCGGTATAGCAATAGGCTCACCACCTATTACATGGGACACATAACATAAATAGCGATAAGTGAGTGTTACATTGTACAGTGGCATTAAGTGCCGTAAATGTCCATCTTCGCCTACCCCTTCGGGGATAAAAGGCGTGATGTTATGTGTAGATATTAAATATATTCCCTTACCCACCAAAATATTCCAATTCCAACTATTACTGCGACACATTTTAACAGCTTCCCCGTCCAATTTAGTTAGACCTTTGTCCGAAGCTCGTCCATACAATCTATATCTTCAATCTAGTCCTTTTCCCTGTACCCTATATACTGTAAGAGGTCATCGTGACTGGTCGTTGGCGTAGACTAGCCAGAATCTGTCCATTAGGCTATAATAAAGTATACCATGACAAAAGCAATTAAATGTAAGATGTAGTTTTACATTATATTGTAAACTAACTTTGCAATGAGACTTTATTCGTAATTTTTTATTACCTAATATAGGGAAAAATGTCGTGGAGAACCTAACGGGTAACCGGGGCTCCGGCTCGACGTGCAGGAGGAGAAGGAACGGGGTGGTTTTTAGTCAGTAAGAGTCCGACACTCTCTCCCGCCCCACCCAGGCGAGAGCAGTCATTCGATGATGAACCCTTAAAAAAATATATATATAGGGAAAAATAACTACCTCTAGATAAGTATTATGTTTCCGGCTGACGTAACTGTTTGATGAAGAACTCGACTAGTTTCAAGGCATGTTAGGGGCTCATATTCATGTGTATGTAAGTCGAAAACGTAATAATTAATTTAGTATGTTTCATGAAAGTTATATTGTAATGTAAACAGGGGAAATAATTTTTCCATTTAAAAAATCTGGGTATTTATGTCTTTGTTTCTCGTCGTCAATCTTTATCGCTTGTTCTCTTGTACATACATCATTGTTACCAACAGAGTTGCCTTTTGTTTTGGTAAGAAGGAAGTAATAATAAGCTTTTAGGTAATAATAAAAGCTTACTTTATGTCACATACTAGCTCCTCTACTAATTCCAAACAAAAATGTCACCCATTTCCACGGAAATTTATTTCTATTTAGGTATATAGATGTGTAATCTATAGTAAGTAGTTCCTTAACTCGAGAATGGCTGAACCGATTTGGATAGTTTTGGTTTTGAAATAGTTTGTGGAAGTCCAGGGAAGGTTTAAAAGGTGAGAAAAATTGTAGGCGTTACGAAGTTTGCCTGGTCAGCTAATAATTTAATAAACAAACACAATGTAGGTTTACATTATCAGTATGGATGTAGTAGCTGTAGATATAATTAATTTGATTTGACTAAGACATTTTGTCATATCCTGTATCAGGATCATTTGATACTGTCGCAAGTATCAACATTGTATTTGAGTTATCGTTCAATTACGTCAAATTACGTTCACGAGAGATGTAGATTAAATTAAATGTACGCACTGGAAGTAATGTAACGTTGTCGTAGCCATTTTCTTTAGTTCAGTTATTACATAGTTCAATTTGTGTTGGACCTGACTAACATTGTAAGAATCAACATGCTCTATTCGATTCAGTGCGGTCTCGCTGCGATCTCCAAGCCGCCTGCCAAGCGCAGGGGTAAACTCTCTCTTAAGAATTAGATTTTTTGAGGGGAAAAGTATTCCAATGATTTCTCCCGCTTTGGGTGAAGCAAGAGAGAGTGTCAGGCTCTTACTGATTAAAAACCACCCCGTTCCTACTTCTGCTTTTCGAGGCTGAGTCCCGGTAACCCGTTAGGTTCTTCGCAGCTCCCGCAGTCTTTTGTTCAGCAGTGGACATATTTTGGCTGACGATGATGAGATGTTAATAGCATCTCAATTTTGATGGTCAAATCTCAATCATATTTTATAAGACACTAAGTTCAAATTCGATGAACATCAAAGGCAGTATTAATTACAAAAAGTCAATTAATTTGCTATAGGTAACTATTACTGCAGTTCACACGCTATTTCCTTTAAAAGGTCAAATTAGCCATAACTGTTTGATTAGGCAGAAAGTAATTGTTGTTAGAGTATGTGGGTGGCGACATCTGGTGGGAGCTAACAGAACTAGACGCCGATAAAATGACCTTTAATTGTGACGTCATCTAATCAATATCGGGTAGGTCAATATAGAAGTTAATTATTATTTTATAAACTAAGTTTAACAATCCTATTGCGTCCACTTCTTTTCTGAAGTCCATTAATTAATATACTATAACCTTTTCCTAAGTATAACAAAAGCTTTTATGAAAACCGCATCAAAATCGGTTCAGACAATCGCGAGATAATCGCGCACAAACATACATACATAAATACCTACTGATCGAACTAAAACCACCTTTTTTGAAGTTGGTTAAAAATTACACATTTTTTCTATTTTTGTGATGACAGGGGGAAACCTTCATAAGGCGTCTGGCTTTTTGGGTAGAAAGGCTAGGGAGTGTGGGATTCATACCTCACTAAAACCACCCCGGTAGCCACCCTCAGCACCTGAGGACTTTAGAGGACTTGAGAGGTCATCTGAAGAGACCTGCTCTGGAGAAAAAAATAGTACCTACATATATTGTACTGTTATGGTGAATCAGGTTTTTATATTGTATCCTATTGCATCTGGATAGTAATTGTCTAAATAACGGATTGTCTGATAATAACATTTTGTTTTCTACCGTTTCTAAGAACACCACTTTGAGAAGGCAAGGTGTCAATAGGATGATCTCAAAATTCTACTTAACACATGAATTAAGGTTTAAAGTACCTCATCACTTTTGATATTCCACTTTTTTAATATTTTCTCGCATTGCAGAGTATAGAGGTAGAAGTGATGAGTAATGTATTCTGTCGTCATTAGACAGATGATATTGTTCAGCATTGCAGTTTGATCAAATAATATGACTAATAAAAGCTTCCTTGTGCGTATTGCTAAAGAGTGGAATTCTTTGCCAGAGTCTGTATTTCCTGAGGGGTATATATAACATGGGAGTCTTCAAGGCCCGAGTGAATAGGTTGCTTATGCGTCGACGTGCTCCATCGTAGACCGTATCATCGTTTACCACCAGGCGATATAGTGGTCAAACGTCGGCCCATCAAATATAAAAAAAATATTAAGTGTGTCTTTTGTTTTTGTTCCGTTTTGGAGTAGTCATAAAAGGAACTGACGAATTTGTCTTGTAGTATTTTGAATTATGTATCTATTTTGTAGATATTACGTTTATCATTCATCATGTATTGCTTGATACGTGCGAAGACGTGGGCTGAACACTAAGCGTCTATAAAGGGCCTTAATAAATACAAAGGTAAGTATTGCACTTACAGGTCTCAGTATGAGTCACCCAATGTCTCTGATCGAGTACCTCGCTTCGATTACCCGGTTAACTTACATTGTTTTACTTTCATTTTTGTTTGAATGCGAGTCGTAATATTGATACGATTTAATGAATCCGTTTTTTTGCAAAAATGGTAGTGAAAAATATTAAGACACCTTTCTACCGTGAAGCCTACCTACCTATGTACTTCGTTTTTATATACATATATATGTGTTGTCCTTCGTGTTGTATGTGTGTAAATTAATAATAAATTAATAAATACGACTACGACATTAGAGCACCATAATGTTGGATATTTTTTCCTATTTATTATTTTTTATAGGTAAGTACTGAAAATCTTCTTGTCATTTACTGATTCATTATTTTCTTCTCGCTTCTATTATAATATTCAAAATTAAGACTCGTCGTTGTCTTAAACTGAACCTTTTAAACTGTTATCACTAACTCTCATACCAGCTGGAGATTACGGCAGTAGAAGAGCTTCATGGTCTACCAGAGTAGAGAATAGTGTCACAGGAGAAGTTATTATTCCCTTATCTTATTCACTATTTACTATTAAATTATGTTTGTACCTGGTTAGTTTACGAATGCCCTTCGCCTCTGGCGTTTAGTAAAATGTCATGCGATGACATTGTTAGGTTAGCATTGCTGTACCTTACCTAATGACCTTTTATTGTAGGCTTTGGGCTTTGAACTAGAATATTGTAAAACATGGATGGGGAATCTTTGGGTATCAACTGGCGTTTTTCTAAAGAAATTGCGACTGCGGTTGGCGTGGCTAGGCAACCGGCTGCCGCGCAATGTGTAGTGGCTTTAATTCCCGCTTAGAACAATTCT